GCAAACATGCTTCCAAGGAAAAAGGTCTGGTATATGGAATGACGGAAACCATTGACATTAGAATTGATCTAGAACTGAGTGCAGTGCATTTACAAGTGTTATACCATCCTTCTATTTCAAAGGCGATTTTCGTTCTAAAACATGCGAAAACGCTGTAAATATGGGGGCCCGAGGGCGTCCCACCCTGTATAAAAAAGGACCCTAAAAGGGACCCTCATTTAAAGAACCACCCATATGATGGATAATATAGGAACCTGATTAAGAAACCCTGGGTCTTTATTAGGTTCTTAATATGAAAGCTAGTAACTAATATATTTTGGGCTATAGGGCCAGGGTTTCTTAATCAGGTTCCTACATTAGCCTTGCAGGATTATAGGGTTAAGGGTTTGGGGTTTTGGACATCGCGCAGCATTCCCGTAAAGATAAGGGCACCCTGTTCCTTATTAGTGAGTCTAAGCGGCGAGACCCGGTGACTCAAAAGCCAAAACCTCTGCGCACTTAGAACCAGAATCAAGACACTGTAGTTCCTAGTCCCTTGGAATTTTTTGTCCTTTTCATACAAAAACGAACATTAACCTCTCGTCCCTTGGATTCTTAGGTTTCATTATACAAAAATGAACATCAACCCCCCGATAAGAGGACCAGGGCAGAAGGATGGAAGGGAAAGGCCAAGATCCGGGCCCTCCGACAGCCACAAGTCCCTGATACAGAACAGAAGCCTATATTATTTTGGGGGGTTCCGTATTATAATTAGATATTATATATATATATATATATATATATTGGTGGGCCCTGATTTAGAGAACTACCCATATCACCACGAACATACCAGCCACCTCTCCAGCAGTTGCGTCGCCCAACAAACCGCCTGTGGCCTCACACAGCCGTTGAGGAAGGCATGGATAATTAGTTTAGGGTTTAGGGTTTAGGGTGTCGGTTCAGGTACAACCCCTGCTCCAGACATTTCACTCTGAGCTAGAACACCGATTCCATCAGTGAAGTTATTGGGCAGCGGGCTTAGGAGGAACTGCCCACAAAAGGACGCATTTTGGGCTGTCTGTTGGTCTGCTATAAAGGTGTCAAGCCTTCGTGGATGCTAGCACAACGTCATAGCTGCTCTAGGAACCACAAATCATTACCCATATAGTAGGTGCTTGGGGTCTAGGGTAACTTTTAGGAACACCTCTGGGCCAATGTATAGACAGTACAGGTACGTGGACGTCAGTTGCTATACTGGATCCAGGGAAAGCTCCTGCTAGGCTCTATATTGACCGGTAATGTAGGGGCATTTCCAAGTTAGAACAGGATTTTGGGGGTTCCTTATTATAGTTATAGTAAGTATAATGTACACCCAAACCCCAAACCCTATTCTAATTATTAAGGCCCCTACATGATCCCAGGCGTGAAGGATTTTGAAGGCCTGTGCAAACATGAATGTCTGCTAACTACCTTGAGAAGGTAGTCCCCGCATAACCAAAGTAAGCAATAAACTAAACGGCAACCCAGACCTGTATAGCCGACATATTAAACCCTAAACCCTAAACCCTTTCCCCCCTAAAGGAAGCCCGTAACTATCCTGAAACCACCAATCCCCAGTCCCTGTGCTGCCCCAGTATACCTGAAAAAGCTCCGGGGCTCAAGGGAACCTACTGTTGGCGCCTGAGTAACTAGAGCAGGGTTTGGGGTATATTGTACTATGACCAGAATAAGGAACTACCAAAATAGTATAGGTAATTGTTGCCCCTACAGAAGTCAGCAGGCTATAATTGGGTTGTTTATGGCAATTTGCCAGGGGTACCTATGGCCCTTATAGTAACATACTTTCAATGTCCCCCCACCCCTCAAGAGTTACATGTCCTCCAGTATCCCTTAGACAAACGACGTTCTGGGAGCAAACGAACCCCAGCTGCCCAGCCTTTAAACCCTGAACCATGGCTTTTAAACCAGAGATCCCCATCCCCCCGCTGCCCTGCGGCTCCAAATTCCTACTGTTTTCAAGGTTTCCTCCATAGAGCATGTACTTGGCAGGTCGGGGGACGTAGTAAGTAGTTATCTTATAGACTTTTAAGTAGCATAACCCCAAATAGGATCTCTTTTGCGGCACTTATGAGTCGACTTGCTACCTACTTACTAAGTTCTCCGACCCTCCAAGTATTCTCTGCAAATGGAAACTTACATCTCCCAAACAGCTTTTACAGTTCTTCGATAGGCTTCGTAAGTACAGATGCGCCGCAATTGGGTAGTTCTCCAATTTCGGTCCCTTTCAGGGTCCTTTCAGCACTACGTTAAGGACCATAGGAAAGGACCTAAACCCTAAACCCTAAACCCTAACTACCCTAACTACCCAAGCGTCCGGTGCCATCCCCCTGCCTGGTGAGCAGTCCTCGAGAGCCTGAGCGAACGGCTTCAGGTTCTACTTGGAGGATCGGGGGACTTACTATTGATGGACAAAATTCTGCATGACCCAAATATAGTATAGTACCATAAATCCCATAGTTTAGGTATATAGGGTCATGCAGGAATTTGTCCATCAACCGTAGTAAGTAGTTCTTTTATAGACAATATAAGTATCATATCCCCAATTAGGGTCTCCTTTAAGGTAATTATAAGTCTACTTATTACCTACTTCCTAAGTCCCCCGCCCCTCCAAGTAACTCTCGCAGGAACGACGGGCTGTGTGAGGGCCTGGAAGCGTGTTATTACCAGGGTTTTGACAGGGTTGTCTGCTACAGTCTAAGGGCTTTGGGAGGGACCCGTAACAGGGACCCTTAATCCCATTACTTTAAATAACCACTGTATAGTCCTTATATACCCCTTATACAGCCAGGTAGTCTCCATATTAACCCCAATAACCTACAAGGGTCCCTATCAAGGGGACCCTCGTAAAGCCCTTAGATACAGGGTAGTCCGAAATGTATTGTTACGATTTCCCCGCTGTACTCCCGATTGGAGTTATCACGTAATAGATACCAAAACCCTGTTTCCAAAGTTAGAAGTATGGGCCGCTAGTATAGGCCCTTAGGGGGGTTCCTTAAGTGTACATATAGGCTATACAGTAGGTATATAAGGGTCCCAGGGTTAAGGGCCCATACTAGGAGCCCATTTTTTCAACCTCAAGCTGTTGACAGTTCTCAGGTTGTTCAAGGAGTTGGGGGCCTGGGGAAGGCTTCGCGGAGACCTCTGTCTTTCGGTCTCTCGCGGTGGCAAAGTTCTGGGCTTTGGGTTTTAGGCTTCCCCTTTACCTCCAGCAACCTAAACACTAAACCCTAAACCTTAAACCCTAAACCCTAAACCTAAACTCATCTTTTCCACTGGGGACCCATGCATGTGCGGCCCGTAGGCCTTAAGATGATAGCCCCCCTCAGGGCATCAAGTCAAAACCAGCAATTTCATTTGACGCTTGCTTTGCCACTTGCTCCGGGACGTGGCGCGCGAGAGTTTCGCCGAGGGCGCGGTTGCCCTTCAGCGGCTTCTGGAGTTCCAGGAGGAGCGCTTGTACGCGCTTCCAGCCGGAGAGTTCGTTCCTGTCGAGGGATCGCGCAATGGACTCGATCTCGGCTGGCAGCCGGGCATAGCCCCAGACGTGGGCTTCGTATTCCCAACACGTGTCATGCTGCATGTCTCGAGAATCGACCACGCGCGCTCAACCTCGTCTTGGTCCCACCCGCGATGGGCCATGTCCAGCTCCTCGAGAACACCACGTGGCAGCCGTAGGCGTGGTGCCCGCTTCCACAGAGGACGCGCCAAATAGGCTGCGATTGAGCCATACAGGCCCTTCTGCGGTGCGAGCAAACGCGTGGCTCCCAGCTTGGCCGCCATACCCTCCCAAAAAGGCAAAAAGCGACCCTAAACCCTGTCCCTGACCCCCGAGATCTGAAACTCACTCGCACACAAGAGCCGTATAGCTTAGGGGCCTCAGTGGCGTCAGGGGGGTTGAAGCCGCAGAGCAGGGTTTAGGGTTTAGGGTTTAGGGTGTAGGGTTTAGGGGCCTAATATAAGGGCCTGAATAATTAGAGTACGATTTGGAGGTATAACATACGACAATTACCATGGCGAACCCCAACAGATAGCATAGGTACTTATTTCCAAGGTTCGAAGTATGGGCCCCTCATATGGAACCTTAGGGGGGGGTCCAAGGTCCCTTGGGGGTACATATGGGGTATACCTTAAGAACCCAAAACCCACTTTTTTGTAGGTTCCTATTATAGACCCTAATATGGGATTTATAGGGACCCTACAAAAAAGTAGGTTTTGGGTTCTTAAGGTATAGTAGGTATATAAGGGTCCCAGGGTTAAGGGCCCATACTAGGGGCCCATGGGTTCAACCGTAGATTATTTAGGCCCCTCGATTACGCTGCTTCCCACCTGCAAGGTCGCAGACCGGAGTGAGCAGAGAAAACAGCGGTTTAGGGTTTAGGTGTTCCGGGTTGGGGATTTGGTTAGGGTTTTGGGTCGAGGGCTCAGGGTTTAGGGTTTAGGTGTTCCGGGTTTAGGGATTTGGTTTTGGCTTATGGAGTTATGTGCCCTTTAAGGCACTGCTGCGTTGAGCAGGGTTTTGCAGGGTTTAACAGGGTTGCAACTTGGAGGGTCGGGGGACTTAGTAAGTAGTTTCTTTATAGACTTATAAGTATCATAACCCCAATTAGAGTCCCGTTGAAGTTACTTGAAAGTCTACTTATTACCTACTTACTAAGTCCCCCGACCCTCCAAGAAGAGGGGCATGAATTACAGGGCTTTGTACGGTTTGGGGAATCTAGATGAGCTAATTCGGGACCGTGTGTGGCCGCCTGCTTGCCAACAGAGTCGGGATCTAACATGCCCCCTGCAACAACCCTAGGGTTTAGGGTTTAGGGTTTAGGGTTTGGGGTTTAGGGTTTAGGGTTAGGGGGTAGACGTGCCCGTATGGTGTAGACTTCGATTTGTTCAGGTAGCCCCTATGGAGGTACGCTGTGGCGAATGCATATTAATATAGTATTCAGGTGCATGGACTGTTCGGGCAGCACAGACACACCCGCCACGAATCTGGCCGCTAATCTCAACGAAAGCTTCTATCCCAGACTCCTGGTAAAGGGAAACTACAGGTGGGGAGTTTAGGGGTATATAGGGCTTCTATAACCTTCTATCAGGCTCCCATAAGGGGAACTACCCACCTGAAAATGTCCTAGACTTCAAGGACAGCCGTTAAGGCCTAGGTATGTACTATGTAGCTGCCTGCAACCTACAGGGTCGACCTCTTTAGGGTTTGGGGCCTAGGGGTTCTAGAACCCCTGAAGGGGTGGCTACCTGAAGGATAATGGAGGGGCCTTTATGCTTAGAATAGGATCTTGGGGTTTATCATACTCGATTATAATCAACCCTAAACCCATAAACCCCAAAACCCAAAACCCAAAACCCAAGGAACCACAAGGAATGGTATCGGTGCTTGTTCCGACCCCCATAGTATCTTTCTCGGCGGCTTTCATGCATTAGATCCCCCTAAACCCTAAACCCTAAACCCGAACCCCCTTTTAGGGGCTCTGGGTTGAGGGTACTCGGAGGCTCCGGGGGATTCAGTAAGTAGTTGATGCAAGGGCCTTATTCATAGCAATGGGTTTTTTGGGGTATATTATATTATAAATAGAATAAGGACCCCCCCCCAAAAAAAAAGGTATAGGTCTTAGTTAAGGCCCCTATATTCTTCATGGACTGTTTTGTATTATGACTGACCCTCCGAATTCTCAGGCGAATCCTTAGCTTAAAGACGAAAGACCCCTAAAAGGGTTTAAGGTTCATATACCATATAGGGATGCATAGTATAAGGGTATAGGGCCCGTACTTTTAAGGGTCTTTTGGTCCTTAAGCTAGCGACAGTCTGAAGCGGCTCAGCCCGAGACCAATTCAGGGCCTGCGTGCCGTAGGAGGGGCCTGGCTGAGGGCTGAGGGTTTAGGGGTTTAGGGGTTTAGGGGTTTAGGGTTTAGGGTTTAGGTTTTAGGGTTTAGGGTGTTTAGGGTTGAGGGTCGAGGGTTTAGGGCATAGGGTTTAATGTAGGGACCTTAAAAATTAGAAGAGGGTTTTGGGCTCGTTTAAACAATAATTATAATAAGGAACCCTAAGGAACAATATTCCTAATTGTCTGGGCTTCTATATTACGCTCACAGAAGACTGAGAAATGGCTTAAAGCTTAGGCTTCGGGTTCGAGACCCTACTTGGAGGGTCGGGGGACTTAGTAAGTAGTTTTTTTATACACTTATGAGTACCATAACCCCAATTAGAGTCCCTTTTAGGGTACTTATAAGTCTACTTATTACCTACTTACTAAGTCCCCCGACCCTCCAAGTAAACCCTGTCAAAGGTTTCAAGACTCTTGCCAGTGAGAGTCGCCATTGTTTCAACAGGTCAGTGCATAATATAGCTTTTGAGGGGCTGCAAGGGAATGTGATTATCAACACTTCGGACCTCTATATGTTGGTCTTTCTGCCCCAATGACCAAGGAAACTTAAGTCTCAATCTTTCGGTGAATATAAGAACAGAAACAACCAAAAACCTTTCGCACATCGGCATGAGAAATCGTTGGCAACGGCAAAGCTGCCTAGCCTAGTACCTCATTGCTCAGAACAGGTCTTGTGGGTGCCTTTTAGTTTCATTATAGGGAGGAGCCCTAAGGAATACTACTGCTTGTTGTCCAACCCCCACATAATCTGTGTCTATATGTGGCACATACCACATTCCCAAAACCCTAGAAGCCCTTGAGATCTCTCAGCTCTAGACCAGTCCTGTTGCTTGTAATGGCCCGGCTTCCCGGACCACAAGCTGGTTTAGGGGCCCTTCGAATTCTGTGCAATATTGTGCGATCAACTCCTCGCATTCCGACCAGCTTTGGCGACCGTATGCAGCCAGAGCTTGCTTTGTCTAACCAGTTGCCCTAAGCGGCAGTTCCCGCTCTGCACTAAACCCTAAACCCTAAACCCTAAACCACCTTGCACATCACGACAAGAGCCGACTTGTCCCGAAGTCCAGGAGAGGTGCTGCTCTGCACGGCCTGCCACACCTCCATCACATTTTGAACCCGGTCTTGCGAGACCCCTGTGCCAACACCCGTGTGGAGCGCCGTTGTTCTGGCTCTGATAAAAGAGAAGCTTGCTCGGGTTCGACCGCCTCATCAAAGGATGTGCTGGGGTATGACGAGTCGTTCGGTTTGTTGGCTTTTGTTGCTGTTTGTCAGCTTGTTGATTGGATTTGCTGCGTGGCTTTGGGGGTTTGTCCCGTTAACGTATAGTTTGATGGTTAGACCTATTCTAGGGGCCTTTAGAATTTGAATCGGGCTCCAGAGGATATGAATTCGGTGTACTTATACATCAGAATCCTTAATGTGGCAACCTGCTTAAGAACCCCCCGCACTATAAGCCCAAATACTCGGACTCCTATAAAGAACCCTAATAAACAGACCCAGCGTGTCTTAATCAGGTTCCTGTAGTGATCCCCAGAATCCCAAACCCCAGACCCCTACTACTTGGAGGGTCGGGGGACTTTGGAAGTAGGTAGTAAGTAGACTGACAAAGTAACCTAAACGGGACTCTAATTGGGGTTATGATACTTAAAAGTCCATAAAAAAAACTACTTTCTAAGTCCAACGACCCTCCAGGTGCAGACCCAAAATCAGATTCCTCCCTTGATCGGTTTAGGGCCTAAGGTTTAGGGAAATGAGGTGAGGTGGACTACGGAGAATCGGTCAGAACCCCCTTTCCCTACGTCTCCACGGACCTTTTTAGTGTATATTTAGGCTTCAACAGGGTTCCTATATGGGTGGGTTCCTAAACCCTAAACCCTAAACCCTAAACCCTAAACCCTAAACCGTGTTCTGTAAGGCCTGTACCAAGTAGGTACATGGCCCTGAGCCCGAATCCCCTAAAGCCCTAAATACCCCTAAACCCTAAACCATGGAACCTTAAGGCCTTGAGCCCTAAACTATCGAACCTAACCCTAAACCCTAAACCCTAAACCCTAAACCCTAAACCCTGAACCCTAAACCTTTAAACCCTAAACCCGACTGGAGCCTTAGGCCTTGGACCCTAAACTATACTTGGAGGGTCCAGGGACTTAGCAAGTAGTTATTTTATAGACTTATAAGTACCATAACCCCAATTAGGTTCCCTCTCAGGGTACTTATAAGTCCACTTATTACCTACTTACTAAGTCACCCTACCTCCAAGTATGCTAAGTAAGCACATGGAGCCGTAGGCCTTGAACCCTAAACTATTATACCAGCCTCGACCCCAAACAGCAATTGAGAAGT